TGGCAGCGTTTTGGCGGATTCACGCTGCCCCCTGCCCCCCCGTATCTGTTTACTGAGGCGTTGTGGCTCCAGCAGCCGTGTCCTGCTGAGCAACATGCGCTAAGGGCCGCTGGGCGTGCGACGTGCTCTGTCACCCCTCATCCATCCTCAGGTTTCTCTTGCTTGGGCAGAATGGATTTAAGCTCACGGGTGTCCTGAGGAGGGGTAAATGATGTTCAATGGGTACATGAGGAATGAAGCCAATTCAGGGTGGGAACAGAGAGGGGCTTTCCCCAGCTTGCTCTTAAATTGCCACCCTGGAGTGTGTGTGTGTATTTACGAGAAATTAAGCAGAGGCTACACATTGGCTGATACAGTGAATATCAGGGATAAGATACTCCAGCCTCTGGATTTCTCAGATTTATCCAAATGCAAGCAGGGGCTCTCCACAGACAAAATGGGAAGTGGACGTAATGGATATCTAAAAGGGAATCATCAGGTGGGGATAGTTTGGTGGTGAGGGAAGCACTCATTTCAGGCTGCAAGAACAGAAAGTGCTGCTGCTGTCACTGCTCCCAAAATGGCACAGCTTGGTCCTGCATCCGCTCGGGCTCTGCAAGCCCCAGCAGGCGAGCCCTGTGGCAGCACCATGCTTTGCTCCTCTGCTGGAAGCCACCAGGATGCCTTGGGGATGAAGGGCAACGGTTCCCTCAGGGGAGCAGGTGCCTTGTTGTCACCCAGGCTCCTTTAGCACCCTTCTGAGAGGAACCTTACACCTTTGGCTGACTTAGTGCTGCAACGGAGAGCTCTTAAACAAATTAGTCACAGTTTACTGTACTGGTATGAACACAGTCCTACACATACACTATTTAAGCTGACTTGGCTCTAGCTACACTATGGTGAACTTTGTGATGCAGTTTAGTTTGTTGATTTAAAAGTTTTTATGGTGTGAGCTCTTAGTTACTCAGAGCATTGCAAGACTTAATGGCTTAAGCAGTCAAAAAATAAATGCATTTTATTTTAGTTCTGTGTTAATGCAGAAAAACTTGACTAAGGCATGCAAGGAATCTATAATACATTACCATAACATAGGCAGCAGTACACCATTAATCCTGGTGGGTTTTTTTCAGCAATTTTTTCCTTTTCTTTGATAGATAACACAATCAAGATGTTCAGAATAACTAGAGAATGTGTTGCTTTTGACAAGCAGTTTCACTTGAAAAACAATTTTTAAAGTTTCAAGATGTAGCATTACATCTGGACAGCTTCTAAATGGTCTACTGCTACTGACTTCAGTTTTAAGTAGTTTCTTCTGCCGCCCAGCATAGTTGCTAGCTGCTTCCAAGCCCTGCATTTCCCATCCTGTGCCACGGGGCTTGCTCAGCACTGCAGCCCTCCATTGCTGTGCCTGTTATAGATGGGATTAGAGATGCAGAGGATTCCCAGAAAGTTCTATAAAAGAAATGAGAGTTCTTGTACAAGGTAGATCTTTTCCAAAAGATCTACAGACCCTACAGTAAAATCCCTAAGCTGTATCAGGAGCTATTAACTAGGCCTCCTCAGGCTATCTCATCTATAGGTTTTATTTAGGCTTTCTCAAAGCACACTTATCAGTTGACACCTTTGTAGTTATAACAGTACACTTCTTCACTCCACGTGAGGGAAAAGTTGAATTAGGAAAGATTTTCTAAATAAAAAATGAATGTGGAACATTAACCAATCCAGTTTTGTCTTATAACCCAAACAAAGAAGTCTTTGTTAATGCACCCAGCAGAGATCAAGATGGAAGGAGTTGCTGGAGCCAGACCTGAAGCCCATTCTGCTGATCAGATGCTAAATGCTATTTGTTAACTACTTTTTCACAGCTGTGGAGCTACACAAGGGAACTTTACTTTAGCAGAGTTACTGTATTTTGAAAGTCTTTGCAAGATGAGGAGAAGCTTAGCAGAAGTTCTCTGGATGAGTTGTGCCTGTTTTCCTGTCATTTGGGACTAAAGGTGATTTACTGTAGGGTTCGGCTACTGATGCACAGCACAAAGATAGCAATGTTTTTACATACAGATAAAATATTAAGCAGCAAATGAGAAAACTACTCATTCTGGTAAAAGGCAAAAATGGTATTCTTAAAATAAGACTAAAAATATCTATGTTTTTCTGGGTAATTTCCTCAATTCTTTGTCATTGAGAAATCACCCATTCAAACTGGTCTAGTGGGTAATTTTCCTTTCCATCTCTTTTATATTGCCAGCAAGTGTCAATATAGCTTTATGTACTAAATAAAAACCTGTTTGTGTTTTGTTCTCTTTCTTTGCTATAAAGATAAGAGATCTCTCCTTCACTGCTAGTCAAAGTCTAGAGAGACTGTGAAATGAGTTTGGATTTCCTTGATCAAGTCAAGGACATTTCCTTTGCCTTACTGTTTCCTAGACTATGAATTGTGATTCATTTTTTTGGTTGTCATGATCAGATTATTTTTACAGTTTTTCCTACTTGATGTTTTCACTTGTATTTTGTTAAAGTAATTTTCTGAAGTAGTTACACAAAAAGAAGCAGGATGAAGTAATTGATGTTGGACACGAACTTGAGACAAACCAGCAGAACCAGCTGCCTGCTTCTTGTCATCTTTCTGCACACATGCAAAGGTCTCCAACTGATTGAACAGCTCTACAGCTCAGGCCCACTCTAACTCAGAGAAATTACAAGATATAGCTTAGGATACTAGTTAGAGAGCTTTTTAAAGAGACTCTGAATGAAACAGCTCTGTATACTGCTTAACAGATTTGTTCCCATTTCTCAAACATGTGCCTGTTGTGATCTATTTGTGAAGTTTCATTTTTTTGCCATCACAAGGAAGATGCCTCCTCTGAAACCAGTCAAATTGATATAGCTGTGTCTCTGTTCTCACTTTTCCCTTAAGCACCATCAGATTTTTTCTGGAGAACTGAGAGGTGTGAGAATGGTTATCTTTCTGTTCCAGGCAGTTAAAGGGATGATGCAGTTCACAGAATCATAGAATCATAGAATGGTTTGGGTTGGAAGGGACCTTAAAGATCATCTAGTTCCAACCCCCCTGTTGTTGCACTAAGACAGAGACAAGTGATGTGGTTTCAGGATCGCTCATTAAGAAAGTATCAATTACCTGAGGGAATTATTGGCCTCTTTGTAATTCTTTTTGTAAGCTTATGAACAGAACGAGGCATTTTACTAGCTTTGCTTAATAAGGTAATAGGAATAGGTATTGCTGATGAGGGTGGCAGGAATGTCTGACTGAATGTTGATTTGTCTGCTTGTTAATTATCACCGAAGTGGAGACTGCTTTTGAATACTGAGCTACTCATTCCCGTACTCATGGGTGAGCTCCCATTTTGTTCATGATTCTGCACCAGGGACTGATATTATTAGGAATGGAAGCTTTACTGACAAAAGGGAGATTCTTGTTCATAAAGGTGGAGGTCTAAGATTAAGCAGAAGTATTACATTTTAGCTGCCATGTACTTGTTTCTACTTTGTGCTCATACTTCTGTGCTTTCAATTAATGATTTTTCCTTTAGTTCCAAGCTAAGAGAATAAGACTAAATGACCTCTCCTTTTTTTCAGGTGTAAAATGCTTGTGATATCTCAACACTTATTTTGTACAGAAAGCTAGCCACGAATGTGACACCTGTTTTGGAACAGAATAAAGAAAGGTGTTTGACTGGGGCAAGTGATTTGTTTTTCATTTCACATGATCTGGTATGATAATTTTTGCCACTACATTATTGTGGCGAGTCACAGACCAAGGCCTTATTGATCCTGTTGCTGGATACACACACTGGTGAGCTGAAAAGGTGGAGTGTGTCCCACTGAACGCAGCTGACTGGAGCAGAGATGGTATTTTGCATTTGAAGCAATTCAGCTTTTGAATATGTTGGAAACATGGATTTGAAAATTTTCTGTACTTTATAGAGCAAGTGTGAGGAACTGTAAGTGTTTACAGCACTGCGTTTACTATATAGTCAAAGGCATGCAAATGTTAAAGAAGAAACTATACCTATAGTAACTTGTGCTGCAAAACTCCAACAAATAGTAGTCATTTACATAATTTAACGAAGGTACTTTATCATTTCAGTTGGATAACATTTAAGTTACATAATGGGGTCTATTGGAAACCTTGTTTCTGTTTTAATGTCTTATGTTGTTCCTTGGAGAGTCTGATTTTATCTTCTTCAGACCTTTGCCACTTCTGGCTATTAAATAATTCAGTTGTCACTGCTGGAGCCATTTGCAAAGCTGAGTACTGCTCTGCTTGAGAAATAGTGAAACCGATGCCGTTAAGTGTGTGACTTAAATGCACAGACCGACCAAGGTGCTTTATTTTTCTATGGATATATGTCTAATAATTCCTTATTAGATCTGCAGGTGAAATAAAATATCAATTATCAGACAATTTATTTTAAAACACTGTTAGTATAGCACTGTACAATACTGTTTCATTTTAAAATGCTTTCTTTATTTATTTTTAAGCAGGCATGAATCAGCTAAACTAGAAATATAAACCATTTTTATTAGCCAAATCAACAATAACCCATTAGTAATTGCCATTAACAGTAGTAATTTCACTGCAAAAAGCAACAGCCACCTCATACAGTCGTATAAACTCTCCTTGTGGGAAGCTGAGTACTGATTAATTTAACTCTGAACAATTACTTTGCTTCTTATCACCACAGTTTACTTAGTATATCAGAAGGACTGTGAACCTTCATTAAAAATTGTAAAGTACATTTCACTGTTAAAAAAGTCATGCATTAAAACAGATTAGTTGCCTACCACAAAAAGAATATAGATTAATTCCAGTAAAAGCACTAGCTGAATGCCACAGTGGATTACAACAGCTTTTGTCAGGACAGGAATATTGCAGCTAAGAACACAATGCGTGTTCTCATTTTTTTGGTAGATTTTTCTATAGTCTTTGCTTGGATGTGTTGCTCTTGATAAGCAGACTGCTCCAGATTTGCTTTGGTTTTCTGGAATTAGCCTCTCACCACTCTGCCTTTCAGCGGTTGGGGTTGCCGGTGATTGCTCAGTATGGGACAAGGTGCTTCCCCTTCAGCAGAAGACAGGATTGTGCGGAACTGAGCCAGCTAAATGGGGAAAGCAAGGAAGGGACATGTTTATCTTTTCACTTTTATATTGCATGTCAGTGAGAAATTGCTATACTTCCCAATTGACTTTCTTTAAAAAAAAAAAAAAATTAAGCTTTGGCTTTGTAATATTGAAATCCAACTATCACAGAAACTTTCAGACACTGGTACCACTGTGTTATCATCTATGTAAAAAACCTGGGGTTTGATAAATTAAATATATCACCAATTGTGAAAGTAAAAACCAATGCCTTAGAACTAATTCAACTTTGCTTTAAACATTGTTTTTTATGTCAAACTATTTATACTTAATTTCGGCCTCCCATCTATTCAATAGCCCAATTACTAACACCTTGAAAAAATATTAAGGATCTTCATAATACCTAATTTATTTCTACATGCTTTTCATGCTTTTTTTCATGCTTTTTCAAAGATTCAAAGCACTTAATTAGCCTTATCTGGAAAGATATTAATTCAAACACCTGTGGAAGGACAGGTGTCAATAATTTAACTGCATAAGACAATTTCATACAGGTTTAGAACAGAAAGAATACTTACCTTGATAAGGCCAGTGAGGGATATCTAGCTTGTCCTACAGACATTACTAGGAAATTATGCAGTAATAAAGTAATTGGTACATCTCCTAACCACTCTACAATAGCACTGAATCGAAAACTATACCCTGGCTATTTGATCTAGTGGCACATCAGAAAACACCCTGCTCAGGCAGGTTTTTGGCTGAGATTTAACGAGAATATGAATTTCTTTTGGGTAGTCTTGTAGGAATGAAGATTGGAAGAACTCAGCTTTCTGCCTGGCTTCCATTTTGGGAAATGCAGCACCACAGGGAAATTTAATTAATCAAATCGCCTTTCCTGGAGCAATGGAAGCAACTCCATCAATTTGAAGTCATTTTATCTCAATTCCCACAAGACTTCGTAAAATGTGAGTGGTCTGACCCAGCTGAGGCAGAATGATAAGTGCTTATTAAGAGCAATAATGTGGTGTAAAGGTACTACTAATTTTACAGTAAAAACAAGACAAACAAACCTAATAAAATGCAGCAGAACCATGTAAAGTGATAATGTCTCTGAAGCTAAAAGATAAGAAGGGTCTTGTTCCTTGTAATACCGTACCTGCTGTGAGCTGATAGTAATTGGCTCTTTAAGGATAATCCAGATGACACTCTCATGGAGGGGAGGATGAGTCAGAGAGCCATTGTAGGTCCAGTACTCCAAAGATTTAGGCAATAGGCTTGAAGGATCAAAATCAGAAAAGGGAGCTTGCTTACCCTGTGGAAGATACACTGTGTTAATAAAATGCATGAGGAAGATAGGATTTACATCTCAGGCTACAAGGGAGTGTGCTCCTAAATCAGAGGAGGTAATTTCAAAACACTGGTGTTTTCTCACAGCATCAGAGGGGAGTTGCTTGCCCTGGTGATAAATTTGACACTGAGATACATCTACGCTGGCACCACCGACAATGAGCAGTGGTTCTCAAAAAAAAACCAAAAAAAACCCCAAAAAACAACTCCCCAAAATGGTATCAGAGACCAAAGAGTCAGGTTGGGTTTTTTTCCAAAATACTGAACTCCGTGCTCCTGAGCAAGCAAAGCACTTCAGTGTCTAATTGATTTTCAGCTGTCTGTTGAAGCTAAGGGGAGGCTTCACATGTGTTGACAATGTTTGCATGTTCAGGGCCAAAGGCTACATTCTTTTTAAAATCCTTTGGGAGATTCTGTACTGTATTTGTAACACACTTCACTAAAATCCAGATATTCAGATTCTATCTATGCTTATTTTGTGCCTTTTTGAGACACTTAGTGGGGATGGTCATTGCTTTACAAGGCAGCTTAAGAAAAGTGCAATTCTGGTGTTATTTCTCCACCCTTTTTTCCTCTCCTTCAACTGAATGAAACTTCAGTTATTGTGAGGCTGCGCTGGTGGTGGACAACAAGGGTAATTTTAAATAGACAGATGGATGGAAGCATAGGATTAGGTAGGAATCAGGAACTGTGTACTCTTACTCTTACACAATGAGCCCATAGCTGTCTACAGGGTGGATCCCCAACAACACAAAATATCTTATGGGATCCCATAAATTAAAGTCCAGGATCATGCTTTCAGCTCCCACATCTCAACAGCCTCCTTCAGCTGAACCCCTGCATTACTCTCAAGTCTTCAAAAAGGCAGATGAGAGACTGTGTAGATTTTAATTTAACTACTCTGTATATTATTATGATCAGGCAGTGATGATGTTTACCTTAGTCTTTACTGAATCCAAGGCCTTCAAGACAGCCTTCAGGTTTTCATTGCATAAGCCAAGCTGTAAATAAATATTTAAAAATCCTAAATATGTAACAATGGTTTTATTCTAACAGAATCAAGAATAAGAAAATGCTTTATAAATGTTGATTAGTTTAGCTTTGCAAACCCACCATGAACGAGACAGAATTTAGAAATTTTGAGGAAATTACAGGAAGTTTTGCTTCTGTTTTGCAGAGTAATGCAAACAGTAGTGCAAAAATAATCTGTGGTTCAGAAGTAGATGATTGCATTTGGAGAGATGCTTTTGCTGATATCTTTTTTGTAATGTGAACTATGAATAATTATATTCTAGCAGTATATAATAATACATAATATTATTTTATGATATTTCCTCAATATGACAAAGTCCTTAATAATAAAGAATTGTTTCTCTTGCCTCAGTTGGTTTTGAAAGTCTAAATATCTCATGTGCATGGATTCAAGATTTCTTGGAGTTCTGATTTAGAATTTTCTTTTATGACTGATAGAGAGTAATAGCACATGACTCAAACTGTCTTTCTGTGGCAGTTCACATCACTGTTAATGGAGTGGAGAGCAAACACAAATGATGTGAGCATTGCCTGCTACAAAGGTGGATGCAACACCACAAGCTCTCAGTGCTCATGCCTTTAAAGCACAGCTCTTCTTGAAAGATCTGTGGATGAAATGGGTATTTGGGTAAAATGTCCATGTAAAAGCATGGGCAAAGCTGGCAACATGGGCTAAATCAGGATAAGAGTCAAGTTATCTCCACCAATTTAACACAAAGAGGTATTTTTCCTAGTCCTCGTCACTGACTGCAGTTTTGATAAGGAAAGGGAAGAGAGACACATGTTTTCAGTATGTCGGTAACTGACCTCCAGGAAAACAGTGACAATTGCCAAACCATCCGGCTTATCGAAAGCCTCAGCTACAGTTGAATACTTGTCTGCGTTCCAGTGAATGAGATGAAGCTAAAAAGCAATTGACAGGATAATTTTTGCTGGTTCTATTACATAGGAATGCTGCAATTAGAGTAAAATAGTTAGAAACGCCATTCTGCACTCTTAGGGTCTGACCGTGAAACTGAGAATGTGCTTGTGAACGCCTGCAGATTTACGGTGTTCTGCTGAATTGCCTGGCATTGTCAGGACTCATACCCAGGATTTATCTGGGCATAAGCAGAACTGCGCATATTCCTGAAAGCAAGTTAGAGGTAAGTACACAGAGATGTGGAAAATCACAACTTACAAGGGACATGTATTTTTCTAACTCTGCTGCTAACAGTCTGCTGTGCATGCCTTTATTTCCATGTCTTTAAAAATGTAATGCATTAAACAGCATTTTGAGGAGTGTAACCACTTTACTACACATGGTGCAATAGTTACTCACAATAGTCCCATTCACCGCAAAAGATTGATGGTATGGCCATTAACATTATGGCTGTGGATGGTTTATATTCAATATAGATATTTCAACAACTTTTCATTTTTGACAGTATTTGCTTTAATAGAGTTTTGAGGAACTTTTATTCATCCTAGTATGTTGCTTATTATGTCTTGATCTATTTTTCATGTGAAACATAACTTTCAAAAAACTTACAGAACTTGGAAATCATAATTTCTTTAAATGTCTTCTCACCTATGAATATGCTTAGCAATTCCTTAGCAACTCTGTAACTCTGTGGCAACAGTCTAGTCCAGGATTATTTGTATAATATTTCAGCAACATGGTCAGAGAAAATATCAAAACTTCTTAAAATGTAAGGAGGAGATTCTAAAATACAGAGACGGAACATGGACCTTACCATATAATGCACATAATTTAAAAATTCTGATTTAAATCATATTTTAAAATTTTTTTCTGGTATTTTTTACAGCTAAATTCCTGTCTTTTCAACATCTTTACTGTCTCAACGTATTTAAACTATTGATTCAAAGCAAACTAATAAACACTTAATCATGTGCTGCTTAAACACAGCTTAAGTGCACTATCTCTTTACACCAGAAAGCAATTCCAAAGGGACACCCCTTTCTTATTTGGCTGTATCAAATGAGATAGCTTTAGTACTCTCAACAGCGGAAAATTTCCTATTAGGAACATACTTCTGGCTGTGTGTTCCTAATGCCTACATTAAAAATGTATAATCCGTCTCATTAGATTGTCATGTTGTAATGTTCCTAAAATCTAAAAAGCTGCCAAAGATAACATAACATGGATTGAGCATGAATTGTTTGTTGGCATGTTGATGACTATTAGCAGAAAACTAAGATACTGGAAAACAAATAAAAACTCTTACTTTAGGAGTGGTTTTTAATTTTTGTAAAACAGAACCTGCTTCATTATCTGAAGACATTTAATGTACTCGACAGCTGCTGGGGCCCTTACTAGAAAACTCTTTAACCTCCTTCTCTTCATTAATTTCTTCTGGGTTTCCTTCTTATTTGCCATTCTTGAAAAGCCAGAAATAAAAACACCTGGCAGTGATGAGCTTGCCTGTAGCTTTGAGAAGCTCCAGCTACAATTATAGTGGAGCACTGAGTGATCAGACTCTCTACAAGGCAGATGATTTAGTATTAAGCTGAATGTACTCGTACAGCTGACCTTTTTAACATTTAGCAGATGTTACTTTTATACCTGCACCTTTCAGATCTATTTCATTATTTAAATATGGATATAGATTATCTAAATTTAGATTAATAAGTACTGACCACAAAACCCAATTTGCTCTTGCAAAGTCAACTTTGCACATGCAGAGATGGTATTGCCTTTGCAAAATAAAATAATTATTAAAGCTATCTACATATGCTTTTTTCTTTTTCCTAGGAATAATATATATGACCAGACTTTGAAAACTTGACTCTGACTTTTCTTCCATTGACTCTACCTCTGAGGCGTATTTCTTTCCATCCACTGTGTGCTCTGAGCCTTGCTCATCTGTTTGGCCCCAATGGAAATGAAACTGCCGCAATCTGTATGTTCCAGTGAGAGGTCCACCTGTCAGCACTGCAAATGCGTGAAGTAAGGCAAAAACATTAATCAATAAAGTCTTCCTGGAAGGCAAGTTACAGATTTCAAAGATTTTATAATGTGCAAGAAGTTTTCTCCACGTTAACATGTTTTGATATTAGATTATTTTAAAACATTTGGAGAAAAAAACCCAAACCAACAGTTTGTGCAGTTAAGCTGAAGTTATTGAAGGCTTTAATTCTAGGTATGTACATGAGTGCATTGGTTATAGTAAATCTGCATGTCTCCTCAATATGGTTCCAAAATTTGGGTGAAATATGTGTGAATATACCTTCTACTCCAGAGAGAAAACAAAAGAAAAAGTAATGCAGAAAAACAGCAGTTTGCCAGAAACAGTAACTGGATTTTAATAACTGGTAGAAGAAATAGCTCTACCTCAAGGAATTAACTTCCCACTAAAATTTGTATTATTTATGACAAAATTTTAAAGGTCCCTTTCTTCACAGAAATAAAACTTATAGGTACTTGACATCTTCTGAATTCAGATTAGGAGATGCCACAAGTGTATTCAGATGTTATTGACACTGTTTATTGCTCATTATCATTTAATACCTTGCTTACAGGCACATAAATGTGTATTGATTCCCACCGTGGTGATAGGCACCTGTAATTGTGCACGATACTTAGAAATATGTGCCTGGTTTTCTTGCAGCACTTGGAATATTATACATCAGCACAAAGAAATCTCCTCCTTTGCTATGAAGGTAATAAGATTCTCTGAGGATAAATCTCCCATTGCATGTTGTTTAAAAAAAAGCCAAAACACAACTGAATAATTCTGTTTATAAATTCTCCTCCTACTTTCCCGCCCACCCCAAATCTGTGATTATTCTGTAGGTTTCCTACTGGGAAATTACCAGTCCTTCTGCCATTAACACAAGAACACTTCCCAAGAAGTCCTAATTATAAAGAACATAATTTGGATCTTCTGTGACACTTAAATGATGTTGCCAACTAGTATAACAAAATTAGCAAGTATGCCACAATATATATATAAAAATACTCCTGAAAGGCAACTACTCTTGTTTAGTATATAAAGTAGAGAAAAAGAGAATGAAAAAAATAAAATGTCTCTCATCTCCTTCTCCAGATCCCGTTTTTACTAACCTGATTGATTGTCCTTATCCTCAAAATTCACATGGAATGAATGCCCAACATTGACAATCTCTTTGCATGTGGAAGGTTTCCAGGTGATCCGGAGAAGCCCCAGAGATGCATCTTTTTTTACTTCTTTGGTTTTAATATCAATAGGAGATTGACGGTCTCCGTTGGCAATAGGGTACAGCTTGTGCCAGTGGTCAGGTCCTAGGCAAAAAAGATAAATAACTGAAGTTTTCTACTTCAAATTCTGTACTGATACTGAATTCATGACACTTTCCCTTGGAACTAATTGTATACATAATACAGCTACTTGATAAATTAATAATCTATGTAATTCTGAAGAATTTTTATAAGAAAAATAAATAGCAATATATTACAAATAAATCTTATTTTCTGTTAAAGATAGCTTTTACCATTGTTACCTTGATAACTCCAGTTCAAACTTGCCATTTTTTTCTCCTTGCAAGGTGCTGTCTTTAAAAAGAAATGATTGGTGCTGATGAAAGCTGTTAGGACAAGATCTCTGCTTTGATTTTCTTCTGAATTTCTAACCTGCACCTGGGCTTTTATATCCTTGCTTGAACAGTAAAGACGGTAATATTTTCTAACAAATGTTTATTGATTTCATATGATTTCAGAATGGCATGAGAAACTGTGATAAGAGAAAGGATTGTAATAAGGAAACAGTTTACTTTTTGATTCAGTATCTATATTGTCAGATATGAGTTAGATGCCAAATTAAAATGTACATCATTTTAGCTGTTCAAATGTTGTCCAAAGACCTTTACACTAAATCTTCACAATCCAAAGCATAATTATGGTATAAAAATGCAGGCACAGAAAGCAATGGATGGTCAGTCTTTTTGAAAATCCATGTCAATAATTTAAGACATCTATGTTTGGATTTTAGAACATTAATTCTGACAATTACTAAAAACTAATCAATCTCAGTAGCTTTTAGTGGCGGAAACAAGTAACAATGTCAGTGTGCAATAAAATGGTCAATATAATATTAAACACATTATAGAGTAAATATACAGAGTAGCAATGCTCTCACTAATAAAAGAGGAGGTCCAAAGCCTACTAAGTCCTACCATCTTCAGAAGTTTTGGGAATGATCTCAAGCCATTTTTGTGCTGCTGGGAGTCTTCAAGGCAATCCTCTTGGGGACTGACACCTGATTAAGTGCATGATTGAAATCCACCTTTCAAAGTTTTTTTCCTGAAGTAGGTCCTATTTTGTAGTTCAAGAATATTTACACACAATTACCCATTTCTTCAGTAACAAGATACCATGCCCTGACTCTCTGTTTTAAAGCTAAGTTCTAATACATATGGGATTTTGCCTGGCTTAAACTCTGGCTCATACATGCTTAAAAGCAGGATTGTATTTTTAGGACCATATACTTGACAAGTACTGCGGCATAGTTAAATACTTGTGGTATTATCTATATTTGTAACCATTTGAACTGACTGTATGGAGTAAATATTTCTATATGAAATAAGGTTTATCACAGACTGTGTAAGCCTTGCCTTGTCATCCTGCGTTGCAAAAAATGGAGCCTGTTGACATTTTGCTGTTTTTCTTGCAGACTATTCTCAGTAATAGGAAACTACTGATATCTGCCTTTGCACATGTCCACAGCTGACGTCAGGAATTTCAGATACCATTGTGCAAGTAAGGTTCTAACCTGTAAAACTTGTGGCATTGATGCCTAGGAATATGCAACTTTTAGGTGTGTCTCAGTTTGCAAATTTCTGTTAATTTGTTGTTGTCATTGTTCAGAAATTACGTTTTATCGGAATGGAAAATGTTAAAAGGAAAATTACCACCACAAACTTCTGCTGAAAGAGAGACAGCTTCACCTGCTTAGTCCCTGACCAATTTCCTAGTCAGATTACTAAAATGATATCAGTGTTTCAATACATTATGTAATTTCTGCTTGAAGAGAAGGGTTCACAGTTTATGGTCCCTGGGCAACCTTGCTATGTAAACTATGTGAGAAACGAAGACAGGGAACTAATAGATCAGCTGGAAATATTAGGTATGCTGGACCTGGTCAGCTGTTGAGTTGTAGTTCTGTAGCAGGAAGTCTGAAGACCTCAGTAAGCCAGGCGTGCACCAGGCCTTCAGCACCCTGTTGGGGCAAGAGGAACTGGGAGGCCTGCCGCTGCCTCGGCTGCGACGGTCTGAACAGCTGTGATAAATTACTGTCACGTTTAGTGCTGAAACAGACTCAGGCTGGTGTTAGTGACTAAGTTTTGAGGCTTCAGAAACCAAACCTGGCACTAAAAGGATGCAGCCTACTGCTCTGGAGGACCAAGCCATACGGCAGACAGCCCAGAAGCCCCAAAATAAACACCTTCATCCCAGGCACTCAGGACTTGCAGCCTCTCTCGGGCTGCAGGAGAAAACTCAGGGTTTGAGTCCAAGTTACAAGGTTATCAGTAACATAGAAGCGTCCCAGCTTCATGCCTGTCCCCTAGGACAGTTAGGGGTCCTGGAGGGACAGATAAGTCTGGTACATCGGGGCAAAGGTGTTCATGGCTCAAGAGTTTTCCACTTTGAGATTCAGAATTATTTTGAATGTATGGAGGGGAGGGGGATTTAGCAACCATCAGTAAAATTTTACAATTATTTAAAGAACAGTTTTGAAACAGAATGTGTTTCTTGCAGAACAGAAAATCTCACTTTTGACCAGATCTAATGTCAATTGTCATCGTTCCTTTGGAATAATGTAGGATAAGTCCCTTCACTCCTATGAGAGTCACAGCACCAAAGTGACTGCAGTTGTTCACACTCACAGCAGGGTGAAAGAGCCAAAGACCCCTCTATTCTTTGACTGCTATCAGTCATCCATAGACAATGCTGGTCACTGTGAGTTAGTTAAACAGATAATACCAAAGATCTTCTGTCAGTGGTCAAAAAGTATCTGCTGGACCACAGAACAAAACAAGTGACTGGTTAGCAGTAATTCAGACACATGTGAAATTGTGTTTGTGGTTTCACTCAAATAATCGTGCGTTCCAACATGATATGGGTACGATATAAAATAAAGAAATTCAGTAACAAAGAATACAGAAGGGTGAGGCAAGATCATTTTGACTTTTCTAAAAAAGGAAGGAATGAAGTTTTAGGAATAATAGCCAAAGGAAATATAAATCTTGTCTTGTTAGACAAATGCAATGGGACTATAATGTGGAAAAATTGCCATAGTATCTTTTGCTTGATCAGATAATCAATGTCAATTTTCTGACTATGAAAAATATTCTTTGTGCACGAGGTGAGCATGGCAGAGATTCAGTAAAATGATCTCTTGGAAGAGGAGCCAAGATTTCAGAATTGTGACCTTTTTACTGTCTCATCAGCCAGGCTCTGAAGTAATTCTAGACCTCCAATTTAAATGCAGCAGACTGTGTGTGACTGACACAACAACTGGTTTGCTTCTTGAAACCCAACACAACTGGCTTATGATTCCTCCCATCACACCCTTTTATACCTCCCTAAGTTCACTTCAACTTTTAACTATGACCCTATCACCGTTGCTAAAATATTTAATTACTAGTGTTTCTTAATTAAGTCTAAGCTTCAGGTTCTTACAACTTTAAATTAAAACCTGTCAAAACCAATTTTTTTTTTCTCCATGAATGTAGAGAATAAGGTTGATGTTATGAAGAAGCTCTTGAGCTCATGAAGAGCTCATGAACCAGGATTCAAAGGAAAAGAATCCAGTATTTCTTTGAATAGACTTACCACTTGTTTTAATTCCTGAAGTTACAATGTGGCTGTACAATCAGCCTTTCTCCAGGCAATAAAGAAATTAGATTTGACTTTAAACAAAGTCCCAGGAACTAAGGTGATGCAACTTAGGAAGGGTGGCTGATATCTTACTGCTTGTTGCATAGCACTTGCCATTTGGGAGACTTCTTTCGGTTCCCTCTTCTACCTGACAAAAACCATTTCAAGGCTTTTTACAACTTCATGATAGGAGGAAAGACCTCTGAACTTAAAGAACACTGAACTTTTTTCCAAATAAAAGTTTTTTACAAATTGCAATAGGGATTGAAGTAAATTATCTATAAATCAAATCAGAATCATTAAGGTTGGAAAAGACCTCAAGGATCATAAAATGTAACTTAAAATAATATGATTTGAAGCATTTTATAATTATTTTTGTGGATCTCATGTGTTCCTCCAGAGTACCTGTAGCCCAGACATTGTCACATTATACTAATGCGTTTGAACTATGGGAATAAATTGCTGAGACAGCAACCACAAAAAATGTCCCAGCAGCACAGGGCAAAAGAAGGCTGAGGATCATGGATGGTAATAAGCCTCTTAAAACACAAGCCTGTATTCCATCAACGACTGATTACTGCCTCCACATTTTAGGCTATCCACACTCTGCAGGGAAAGTGTTAGCACCTTTCCAGGAAACTGAGATTAAAGAAATGTGATATCCTTGGCAAAACCTTCTCTGTATAAATAGAAGTGGATCCCTGGCTTTCCAGATAAGTGTGGACAAAGTTCTAATGTCTAAAGCTCTGAACCTGGAAACCACTATAGATGTGTTTAACTTATGCATAGCGGGACATCTATTGACCTTATTTGCAAGTGTGAAATTAAAAATGAACATAATATAGGAATGAATACAAAATAGTCTTATTTTAAGGACACTGGCCAGAAAAACCATAAAACTTCTATGAAAAATATTAAATTACAAGAACATTCAAAGGAAATTTTTCAAGTGTCAAACACTATCTATCGATAGTGAATTTATTTGTAAACAAAATCCTACAAAAAGTTTCAGAAATATTTCATTAGCTCTCAAAGTGATCCTTTTTAGTTAATGTTTACAGAGAATCAAGATATTGTTATTTGTAATGTTCTGGTGAAAATTAATTAATCTGTATTAGATAATCTTCCCCTATAGCAATTGTAAGTAAACCAGTGGGAGGAAAGCTGCAAAGTTATGAAAGTTTTGGAGTGAGCTAGAAGGATGGCACTTCCAAGCCATCAGGCATTGCTTGATCTGAGGAAGCTCTGGCTGTCCTTGTGCAAAGTACTGCATAGGGTGCAAGAGATAAGGATCGACTTAAAAAATAAATTAAGAAATAGTAAATATGGGCCAGTGGCATAAAGGCAGAAGCTAATAGGACCCCAATGGTTGTGAAAGAGCTATTGTCATATATTACCTCCCATCTGCTTCCTGCACTGGGCTTTGCTAATGGAAGAGAGACAGCTCAGTTTGTCTGTCCACAGCTGGTGACCGTGGATAGGATCAAACCTGGGCCCTCCTTGTGAGGGGAAATGTATCAGCTTAACTGGGGAGTTTTATCTGCTATGGGCTACAATTTTAGGCTTTTAATACTAACTGAGCATTTATTTTATTTTAAGTGGTGAAAGATAATACATCTCTCTATTTTTATTTGCAGGCATACCTGTAAAAT